AACATTTACTCACTTTCGTTGATTCGGCAATAAATTATATCAGTTATCGTCCTCCATAGTTTACCTTTCTTTACACGTCAAGCTTTAAGATTATTTTAGAGCGGTTTCAAATTCAAAATTTTAAAACTTAACGATATTTTTCCTCATCATTACATTTGTGTATAAATACAAGTTACGGAATAAAATCTTTCCATTTAGCTTAATAAAGTTCCCCAAGGAAGTTCAATATATATATATATATATATATATATATATATATATATATATATATATATATATATATATATCTAATTTGTATCCCAGCCCTCTCAGCAAAAATACCAGGATATAGTCAACAAAATCTTGTCTACCATGCTGACAACATCCAGTTCTTGATGACTGAGGTTAAAATTCCTTGAAAAACAAAAGAAAGCATAACAGTGGAAACATTTTTTTTTTATCCCAATGTACAACTTCTTCAATTGTAAAAACATGTTTTCTTCAGTTGAAAAAATAAAATGAAAAATTAAACAGGCAAATATTGTTGGGTTTAGCTATATACACACAAACACAGAGAATACAGAAGAAAACTTACACCAGTGTTAAATGTGCATAAGAGAAAAAAATCCCAAAAATATAAGCAGTAAATTGCTAAAACTCCCTGAAGAGTGAACGGACAGGTTCGTCTACGAAACTCTTGAGTCGGGATACTGAATCAGCCAAGTGACAAATTTTACACACATTATATGTGTGTGTGTGTGTGTGTGTGTGTGTGTGTGTGTGTGCGCGCGCACGCGCGAGTGTGTATATATATAATTAAAATTAAAAAACAGACAACCTTAAGGGTTCATTGATATATATTTTATTTCCCCAGGAAATTGTTTTCTCCTGGGAAAATAAAATATAATCAATGGGCCCTTAAGGTTGTCTGTTTTTTAATTTTAATTAAATTAATATTCGCTCTGAACTCCCTGCATTACATCCTCCTTGGGATTATTCATACGGATTACCAAACCTTTCATTACCCAACTATATATATATGTATATATATATGTGTGTGTGTGTGCGTGTGTGCGTGTGTGTGTGATAAAATCAATAAACTTTTTATGTCATGCCAGAAATTAAAATGGTCTTTAACGCTCTGTTTCAGTGGATAATTTCTTTTTCTTTCACATCGACTTACATAACCTACAAAACAAAGATTACAGATTACTGGCATTTATTTCTGTTTGGCTATTTATTTGTATGTAATCAATATAAATCACAATCAAGGTTTTCCTTAAATCCTTTCTGTATTTATTCTGCAAAAAAAGAAGAATCCTAACGGTTTCGTGAACCGTAAGAAATCTCCTGCTATTTTTTTTTAATCTAATCTCATTTACGCTTAAAAATGTGAAATATTAAATAAATTACTCTAAATCAGTTGATATTAATGGCGGTCTGCACTCTTATCATTAATCTGTCATTTACTAGCTCTGTTAAAAAATCGTCCAATGGGAAGATCAACTTTGCAGAGGATTAGCAGACCCCCTTTTGCTATTAGAGCTGTTACTTAACACGAGAATTTAAAAATGCTTGGCTTACGGCCATATCACGTTGAAACATCGAAGTTAAGCAACGTCGAGCATGGTAAGTAACTAGAGGGGTGACCGCTTGGGATGACATGGAGCCGTAAGCTTGGCTGTGTGGATGGTGTAATGGATAACGGCTCGGAATTGGAAATCGGAGAGTCGAGTTCGATTCGAATTACAATCAGTTTCTTTAAACGCGTAAATACTCTTGGGAAAGGTATGATTCTACCTTTTCTCCTCTCCAGATTTGGGTTAAATAGTAAAAATCATTATTATCTAAAAATGTTATTAATACGGTATTCATTTGCAAAAAAAATATTCTTACTATCTAAAATATGTTTAAATAACCGACAAAAGGTTGATAAGCCATAAAAAACAATAAAAAAAAAAATCAAATTCTTCATTCTCATATTTAAGGTATATTTAGGCAGCAAGTATTCATCCAAAGAAGTTTGATTAAAAAGAATCGACAATTTCTGTTTGTTTAATTTTTTATTGTATTTTTCCAGTTTTCAAATAAAGTGTTGAGCATTGTGTTAGAAGTTGATAAACTGTCCGAAGTTTATATAGTGTTATTAGATTATTCAAGTACTTTCGACCAGCTCAGTCATTATCAAGGATCAATATGGTGTCTGTGTGGTAGTTACATGACTTCACCATAGACTGTTTCACACTTCAAGTTTTCCCAAGAATACCAGGATGTAAACAAAGGAATTCTAGTTACAACACAGAAACTATATTGGTTCTTGTTAATGACTGAGATAATAACACAATATGAACTTCGTATTGGTTTGTCTAAAAAGTTCGTTTACTTATTAAGTAGAAAATTTACTTAATATAGCAAACGAACATTTTGGCTAACCTAATATTTCAACTTCCATCAAAATACCAAGATAGTCAGGACAATTCCTCTATTCAAAGACCTATACTAAGAAACATTTACCTTTGCTACCAATATTAGAATGATTTTTATTTATGTCAAATGAATCGAGGAGAAAACCGAGTCAATATCTAGTCCTCAAATTACGCCAAACGCGTTCAAGGCATATTGCGGGTTTTGTTGTGATGTAATTGTTAGCAAGCTTGTCTCGCTAGAACAATTAGACTGAATAGTAAGTTCGATCCTCACTGGGTGCGCCATACTTTCTGCCTTGTACCACATCTAAGCTACGCTTAGAAAATCCTCATTATCGCTAGAATTTACTATGCTAAATATAAAAGTGCTTTTTTTTACATTATTTTCTTTTAATTATTGATATTTACTAATTTCAATTAGTATGGTACCATGAGGAGTAATAGATGGCGGCTCGGATTGAAGAATCTGAGAGCCGAGTTCGAATTCCAGTCAGATCCATTACATTCACTTACATGCTAATACCATTGGGAAAGATATGAATCCTCTCCCTCCCCCCAGGTATAAGTAAATAGCAAGACAGACCGGGTTCTTTAGCCTTGGATGGCAACTGGTCTACCGCAGAAAGTAATGGCAAGCTACTGCGGGAAAAAAATCTGCCTCGTCAGTCATATATCGAAAGGTACATGATCGCCTAAGCGTTATCACACATGGCACCAAGTCAAAGGATAAGGATAGGAATGGGAGGAGTCATTAAACCCTCGGTAAGGATCGAACTCACTACACGAGCGAATGGTCTACTCTCTAACCGTTCTTCTACACTGAATACTCAGATACTTAATAAACCTAGTTTTGTTTAAAAATGTTTTTTTTTAAATGGCTTGGAGTGAATTAACCCTTTAGGCCTTTGCAAGAACCTCGTGGACTGGCGCTACATAATCTTAAACAAAAAACTGTACCAGATCAATCACTTGGGAGCTTTTAACAGTAGCAACAACTAAAATAGATATCAAGAGTAATTCGAAAAGAGAAAATGATGACATATTCAAGATGTTGGCATTCCTCACTATTTCCAACAAAAGACTAGGAAGGAAACCGCCATCAATGCTGGAAAGAATGATAGCAGCCAGTGGAGTTGAGAAACCTATTTTCCAGAAGAATCGTCTTAATTTTAAGATTTTATAAATTTCAACAGCAAGTAGCACTGGCTAGTCGGTCAATGATTGCCGGATGTTTCTTCATAAGAAAATGACTAATTGTCAATAACCATTGGAAATGAAGAGAATAGATACATAGCTTTTATCCGAACCAAAATCTCTAGAGAGTTAAGAAAACGTAACGCGAAAAGCACTGGATGCTTGGTCAATAAATGCCGAATGTTTCCTTATAAGGAAACGGTTAATATTATAATTACCTTTTGCACATAACAAATATAAATGCACAAAAACGAGACGAAGAAGATTGTGTTACGCCATACTTTTGAGTAATGAGAGTCTTTCTGTCTTGGAAATTAGCTTTCTGAATTCTGGAACCCGTGAAAAATATAAACTGAATCGTGTATTGGCTGTCATATGACAGTGTTTTAATGTTGGGAATATATTTCTGTAAGGATATTGTTATCGTGCCGTTACCAATGAAAACGCGTAATTCAATCTCACGTACGTAACACTATATTTTATTCAACTCTTATACTTTGTGAATTAATATCAGCCAGTGTGTGAACCGTGGACCTTACATACTCTTCTGCAATGTCCGAGAGATACTATTCGTGTTGGTTCTTGGGAGAATTACAAAGTCACAATTATTTCTTCTTCTTCTTCTTCTTCTTCTTCTTCTTCTTCTTCTTCTTCTTCTTCTTCTTCTTCTTCTTCTTCTTCATTTTTTTATTTCGTTACTTCGTCTGTTTCTTTTTTTTTCTTCTGATTATTTTTCTTTTCATTTTTATTCTGCATCTTCTGTTTCTTTTCTTTCTTCTTCTTCATCTTTGTTATCCTGATTTCAGTATTGTAAAACACTTATAAATTTCAAAGACATGTAAAGTAATAGTTTTACTTTTTAATACCAAGTCTAAATGAGTTCTTTTCCATCGTAAAGGATCCAGAATAGGTTTTTGAATATCGTGACACGTTGTAAAAAATGCCATTCATCATTAAAACTTTTAGATCTAGAAATAAGTTATGCTAAGATGTAAGATATTTTAAAATATAAAGAATGAAAGCCATTTCAAAAAGGACCTGTAGTCTTTGTGATTGATTAATAATCAAGAACGTACATCCTGTTAATAAAGTAATGTTTAAGTTTCTTTTTGTATTTCTATATTTATCAATCAAATATTGATACCTGAGGAATCTGTTGTTGATTTTTTTTGGGGGGTGGGGGTTCGGATTTTTATAACTTTATAATTTTAGTGTTATAGATAAATACATATTGACACTCATAAAAAATGTTGTATAAATGACGCTACACAACAGGATATAATCTATATAACATCGATTATATTGTCAATGTTGTTTTGTTTATCGTCATCATAATACCAAAAAACCCATAATATTTTATTCTAATGTTTGTTTTTCTTTTCTTTATTTATTTCATTTCAG